GATGGAAGAAGTTCTCGAGGACGACTGGGTGTTGAACGCACGAGTCTGTTATCAAGAAGAAAATGGGACTGTTCATCATGCAGAAGGCCACACCCACGTTTTGGAAGCCGGCTCCGGCGGACCGCCGCCAGCCAAGTAATGGGCAAGGCTGGCGGATCGGAAAACCGCCAGGAGTACTGGAGACCGATGATGGAACAAGGGCTATGCTATGATACGAGTATGTCGCATGGCAGTACTTGACGGGATCGCATTGTGTCGCATTGGGAAGATTGAAATGTCCTGGGAGCATGATGGCTGATGGGTTACGTTGTTTTTTTTTGGATGGCCAAGGGCCTTTGGGTTGAATGCGCGTTGGAGAGAACCAGAGTGTTTGAAAATCTCATCTACGAAGGGCCTCGATATTATTTGTAGATACCAGTTTATAACGTTCAGCCACAAATCAGACCTCTTCGAGGTATATTGAAGCCAGCCACAAGTTCAATGGGGCAAGAAAAGGAGTAAAAATACCGAGTACTGCTTCGGGACAATGTAAGCCCGTATTATTTAGTTAATTAATCAATCAATTGATATCGCGAAGACCTAGAGTGGCTCTGTGGCTTTGTCCCGCCCCCAGCTTCTGGAACAGGCACTCGCAGGACTAGCTTCTGACTGGCGTGCCATCCGCAGTCCACCATTGCCCGCACTTCACAACGGCCGCAGGCTAAATGCTACGTGATCTGCCGATGTAGCTCTCCCAGACTTCTGCAACCTCTGTAAAGGACGTCGGAGGCGAAATCGTGACCACGGTAGTGTTCTTCTGACTTGATCCTGCAGAAATGGCCAGTTGAGAGACGCCGATTTTGTTTGTCGCAAAGGGCCAGAGAATCGAGGGGCTTTTGTATATCTCCTGCATATGGCCAAGAAGAAGCGCCAGAGGATCAGCTATGGTTTGTCGTCTTTGCTCACCCTTCTGCAGTGCGTCTGGCTAATGATGAGCAGTACTGCCTCTGGCTAGTACACCGGGTGGCCATAGACTCGGGGTGAACGGGTTAGCGTTCGACGATGACCGTTCCATACTGTGGGCAGCCCCCCCCCCCCCCCCCCCTGATACCGATCGCAGAGAACGAATACTGAACCATGGTACAGATACACAGGCGGCAGAGATGGCGTCATATGCGCATGGGATCTGGACCTGGAGGCGCAGAGGGTGAATCAACAAGAGGCGGGCGCAGCAAAGGACAAGAAAAGCACTGTGTCATTCCGCAAGCAGGTGCAGGCGCATACCCATTGGGTCAATGATATTGTCCTGGTCAAGAACAACCTTGGACTGGTTTCAGCCTCATCCGACGTCACTGTCAAATTATGGAGGCCTCACGCTCACGAATCATCCCAAGCGTACACCATCGGCTCCCACAGTGACTATATCAAATGCCTCGCAACACCTGATCGAACTGCCAATTGGGTTGCCTCCGGAGGCCTGGACCACAGGATTTGTCTCTGGGACCTAAATGGGGGTGGCAAAAATCTTGAAATCAACTTGGGAAAAGTAGAGGACGTGGTCAAGGGATCAGTGTACTGCCTACGCGCAAGAGGCTCTCTCCTTGCCAGCGGAGGGCCCGAGAGTGTCGTTCGACTGTGGGATATCAAGTCCGGCAAAGGTATAACTAAGCTTGTTGGACACACAGACAACGTCAGGGACATTCTGATCAGCGACGATGGCGATACACTGCTTACTGCCTCCTCCGACCAGACGATCAAGGTCTGGTCTATTGCGGCTGGTCGATGCATTCACACCCTGACAATGCACAACGACAGCGTGTGGTGCATGTACTCGGACGATCCTAATCTGGCTGTCTTTTATTCGGGAGATAAGTCAGGTCTGGTGGCCAAGACTGATACTCGACGTGCAATGGAAATTGATGATGGGGTGTCGGTCGCTGTGTGTCAAGAACACGATGGTATTGCTCGGGTGCTTCCTGTCGGGGACTCTGTCTGGACTGCAACCTCGAGCTCAAGCGTCAATCGCTGGCTCGATGTTGATACCGAGCTCGAGGTTGAAACACCTCCTGCATCCCCTCGCGAAGAAAGGACCGCGAGCCCAGAGGCGAGAAGTCACTTAAGCCCTGAGCCTCGGGCGTCTTCGCCTCTACCAACTACGAATGGCACCACCAATGGCACCACAAACGGTGAAGTCGACCAGAAAAAGAGAATCCCTCACAATGCCATTCTCCGCGTGTCAAACACAGCTCTTCATCCTGGTAGGAAGCACCTGGGAAGACACCCGAATGTGTCGGCGACAAATTTGAGGAAGGCTTCGGAGGCCATGATCACCGATGATTTGAGTCTGGTCGTCCCTATCAGGGGCCAACCTGCTGAGACTATCGAGGGTCAAAATGGACTCATCAAACATGTGATGCTGAATGACAGGAAAAGGATACTCACATTGGATACAGCGGGCGAGGTAGTATTGTGGGATCTTCTCAAGGTATGGGACACCTTCCCTGAAGGTGATATTCGCACACTGACGTAAATTAGTGCATTCCCATCAAGTCCTTTGGCCGTCGTCATCTCGATGAAGTTGTCCCCGATGTCAATACAACTGAAAGTGTTGCAAATTGGTGTGGCGTGGATACGAAGACTGGAAAGATTACAGTTATGCTCGAGGAGAATTACTGCTTTGATGCTGAAGTATACGCAGATGAGCTGGACTTGCCCAGCGATCTTGCCTTTCGCGAGGATCAGAGAAGTAGGTCGATCCCGGCTCGAAAAAGCTATGAGGTGACGCTGACAATCAACCTAAACAGTCAATCTCGGCAAATGGGTACTACGTAACCTGTTCTCGAAGCTCATTGACGAAGAAGTTGCTCGAGATGAAGCCTATAGGCGCACACTTCAAAGCTCTGTCAGTGCTCCTCCTCCTACCGGTCTGGTTCGACCTGGTGCACCAACCAGCATCAAATTGCCAGAATCTGTCGGCGCGACGCCCTTGGTGTCGCCCGGGACAGTTGTGACGCCTCGTGCATCGAATGGCCACTCGATGGTGCCCGCAACTCCTGGGTTGGCCATTGGCGCCGCTACACCAGGCTTTGCGCCATTGACCGCTACGCTTCCTCCCACCGCAGAAGAAGAGCCCGCACGCACTCCCAACGGGGCTCCTTCGCGGTCATCTCTAGGGCAAACCCCGCGAGTGCAAACCCCTCATGTGCAACCAACGCCATCGGCGACGGAATCCCAGAATGTCGACTATTTCTCATCCACTACGGCTACGGGAAATAGTCAATCTGAGGCGTCTTCGGAAAGCGAAAAGGTTCCCAAAACACCTGGAGGTGGCCCAGCAACGACAGAAAGTAACGCTCACGGTCTGGTCTCGACACCCACATCACCTACCGAGGAGAAGAAAAAGGGCCTCTTTGGCAAGAAGTTCGGCATGGGCATGTCCTTTCCCAAGAAGATGACCAGCCGCTCGTCAGCAGAAGTGAAAGCGCCTGTTGCATCGACAGAGGAGAGGTCTTCTGACACGGCTTCCGTCAGGTCTTCAGAGAAAGATGTCGAGAAGGTCAACATAGAAGACAATTTTTTCGGTGTCATCCAGAAGATACGTCTAGAGTATGATGAGCATCTCGAGTCCAAAACGGATCAACCGCTGCCACCAGGCATCACTCCTCCGCCGCCAACAGAAACACCGGTGCTGCATCCGCCACCGCACACCACCATTATTATCCAGGAGGATAACCCCGAAAGTGGCGGACTGGCAGACCAATATAGGGGTGAGATCAGTGAGTTGGGAAATCCTGCGGAGGTGGACACACTGGAAAAGATTGCTCCGATGTGGTTGGGAGACTTGTTACTCCGGGTGAGTTCCCATCGTATTAGTGTTTGTTTCTTTACCTCGTCTCTCCGTGTCTTTTCTTGTGTCACTTGTCCGAGGATCGAGCCACTGACCCTTTGTTGCAAACAGAACCAAATCCCCTACAAGGACACCGTCAAGGTTTCTTTTGTCCTGCACCCCTATGAGAATTTGCTTCCACCTATCGCTTCACCCGATGGCAATGCTCGGCTCAACGCGAATCGCATGCTCCGCGCGAAGAAGATCATGGCGTACATCGCGGAAAGGATTGAGGCTCCTCCAGTCCAACAACAAGCTCCTCCTAGCGAGACAGCAGCAGAAGGCGAGCAGTCCACCGAGACCAAACATTCGGATATACCTCCTCACGCCGCCGTCGAACCAGAAGAGAGCCCAGAATCTCAACTGAAGCCCGAGGAGTACCTGGAACTCTACTGCCAGAACCAACTGGTACACCCCAACACCACCCTCGCCACGCTCCGCGTGCACGTGTGGCGCACGGGTGGCGACGTGGTCCTGTACTATAAAAGCAACGGCAGGAAGCAGTTGAGGTTGCCTCATCCTTCGCAGGTGCCCACGGACGTAGAGAGCGAGGAGACTACGGGTGTAGTGCGGTAGAGCTTCTGCAGGGAGATCCTAACCTTTTGTACCTTGAGTAGCTGTGCAGGGTATGGCAGAGCAGAACGTCGGCGTCAAAATCAAGTGGAGACCATCATAAGGAACAAATACCAAACACAGTCAAGCTAGCAGGTAACTGACTTGGGTGCATATGTTCACTACTAGAGAGAAGGCGAGGGTGAGGATGATGGCGATGGCGATGGCCTGCATGCATGCATGCATTATTTGTAGACCTGGATTTGACAAGAGGAGAGATCTCTGCAAACAATGAAAATGGGTGCGGTGCATTGGGATGCTGCTGTTGACAGTTTTGCTCCGAGGGGGCGAGGGGGAAGAAGGGGGAAGAGGTACGGAAAGAAGGTCCTCAAGGAGAAGAAAAACCAAGAGAAAAAAAAAAGGAAAAAAAGAAGAGGGAAAAGTTGCAGTACTTGTATACACGGCGGATCTGGACTGAATATAGAATGAATGACTTTTCTAATTTCCGGGCGCGACATTGAACCCGTCCAGATGCCTCCAAATTGTGCGGTCGATCGCAGATGGCGGCACCAAGTCAGAACCATCAAGAGTCTTCAGGACCCAGCAGGTTCGAGACATATTGATATGTGCCGAGAAAGATTGCGCCGCCCGTACTGATCCAGCCGACACGGGGCACGAAGCCACGAAACAGACCCGCCGCGCCCTCGTCCCTCCATATCTGCTGCAGTACTTTAAGGGGGCCGGCACGAGCAGAGGCACTGCCTACCTCCTTGCGAGCGAGCATGATGCGCGTCTTCAGCACGTCGAGCGGTGTCGTGAACCCGGCGGCGATGCCTCCTGCGACACTGCCAAAGATTGCGCTCTCGGACGCGGTGACCAAGCCTTCATGGCGTCCGGTGAGTCTGTGCTGTCGGTCCGAGTATGAAGCCTTGAAGTATTCCCACAGGCTGAACTGGGTGATGGTGAAGGGTATCTCGCGCATGATAGTCACTCCGCCTCCTCTGTAGAGCTCCCGGACCATGGTCGCGTAGCCATCGGTCTTTCTCAACCCCAGTATGTCCTGCAGCGCGAGCAGGGCCGAGCCACCAAAAAGCCCGGCCTGGGCCCGTTGCTTGACGACCTCGGTGGGCACGCGGATCGCGCAGGCCGCGATCTCTCCGAGCGACGAGGCCAGCATGTGCGTCGAGGCCTGCCGTGAAGATGACTGCGTCGTCGGATCAATCAGTGCTCTCTTGACGCCGTCATACACGACGAAAAAGGACGCAGCCGACGGCATCGAACCGAGTAGCGCCGACGGGAGCCCGGCGTACATGCTCCGCAACGTCCCCTGGACGGTATGGCGTGGGAGGATGGACGCATGTTTGCTGGTCGTGAGGTTCGACTGGAGGCGCGTCTTGATCGTGTCGAGAGGATATAGCGAGAAGTCGACTGTGAGGCCGGCGAAGGCGCCCGCCTGTTCATCATGGCCATGCCGTCAGAAAATCATGGCTCGGTCGACATGCGGAGGAGGGAGGAGGAGGAGGGATTTACGATGAGGGACCGAGTCCATGGCGAGTTCACGACTGTTTCTCCCCCTCGGGGAGCTGCTTGCAGGGTCACATCCTGCTCGATCATTCCTGGAAGTGCCGATGCCTTGGAGAGGCAGGAGGCGGCCCTTTCACTTTTGGGTGCTTGAGTTCCAGGTCGGTGTTGCGGAGGGAAAGTAGCAGCACTCTGTAAATGGAGTTCAATATACTTTGGTGACAATTTTCAAATGACACGGCCGTGATCGGTCTCTTTCGGTCTGTCAATGTCCGAATCGGGCAATGTGTCGTGCTTCACGAGATGCTAACAATTATATTATTCGTTTCCTACATGCCAAACCTCATAGACACCTCCGAGTATCTCGCCTTGTGTAAGGCTATCATGACCAACATACGGCACACTCAAGAGAGTTTGAACCTGGTCAGAATTGAAATATGTAGTCTTAACGCCCTGGACCCCCGGAACGTTTATTTATTGCACTGCTTTCAGTCCTCCACAGCTCGAGTTACATCACCTGTATGGTGTCTGATCAGAAATCCGCCATCTCCCTTCCTCAGTAGAGTCTTGATCCAGTCAACACCAAAGTCCCACCAGCCATGTCGGTCTGGCTTTGCCAATTTGACAAATTCCGGATCGAGGCTACCGACAGTAATATCGACAAATGCCTGTGGCGTATCAAGGTATTCGTGGTTCAGGTATGTAAGGTTTGTACCGCAACGTGAGCAGAACGCCCTCGTTGCGCTATCAGTGCAGCAAAAGCGAGATACATAATTCGAGGAAGATCTTTCAGTCTCACTGACAGGACCAACAGCGTCGCGGGTAGACAAACGAAGAATTTGCTCATTGCCCGCAGTTTCTTTCGATTGTACGTCCCATTCCACCCAGTCGACGGGGACTATGAGCCAGCATTGAACCAAACAGCCAGCTTGACGTCGGCAATCGCCACAATGGTCGATGTCAATCAAAGGAAGTCTCGTTTGGATCTTTTCGGTAGACGAGATGGGAGTCTCGAGGGCGCCAGGAACAGCAGGGCGGTTGTCCCAGGCTGGGACTCTGATAGTGTATCGGATGGCCTGGCAGTAGCAGCCGCCAGTGAGATTTACGGCCTCTTTAGGGAGATACGACATCTTGCGACAAAGGAACTTGTCCACGTGAATACTTGTGACTGAGAGGTGTGTGAGGGAGGGTGCGCTGCGACGGTTCAGGTTAGCGAGCACCGACGCAGGTAAGAACTTGCCTTTAGAGTCTTTGCCAGGCCGTCTAAGAACACAGAGTGTCGTCTCTCTTCAAGAGTGATGGATGAAATCAGTTGAAGTGAAAGGCGGGGATGAATGTTGGCATAGATTGGAGGATGGCCGTTGCCTGGCAACAAACCGGTGTGTGATTGTGGGGGCAGCAAAAATATCCGAAACGGACCCAAAAGTGTCGGAAGAGGCTCGACACATGATTCTGAACCGCGTCGCGAGTCTCTTCATACACACCGGCCACTTATGTCCCGCATGCTCTATGATAGTTCCCACACAGTCCACCCACCCTCTACACCCTCTTCAGCTATGGATACAGGCTACATTGTTCTTCTGTATGCGATATTCAGATCGTCGGCTTGAGCATTTATCCTGGTGCTCCTTGTCGCTATCCTGGTACCCATTGCGAACACCCAGTCGCACCACTTGTTTATATCTCATTCAACCACATCCACAATGGAGCCGTGGCTCGATTCCTTGTCAGAAGACTGGAAGTCTGAACACCGCTCATCCTCCCCTGCGCTTTCTCTCGCAAGCAATCCTCAGCATGGTAGTGTCGCACTATCCCACTCACAAAGTCGCATCCCGCACCTCGCCAACAACATCCGTAAAGAATCGTCCAACGGGAGCTTTCTGAGACATAGATCAAGTCGTGGACAAGCCCGCCAGAGCAGCAAATCCATCCTCCGCGAACGGAGCGCCTCCAGTCTCAACCTGCCGAATGCCCTCAGTTCACAGAAACAGTCAAGCCTGCCGCGCCGAACATCAAGTGTTTTCTCTGATTCCCAGAACTCAGTACAACATCACTCCATCCACGAGAAAACCTCCTTGGCAGAAACACCAGAATGGAAGAGACGGCTGGTTGCAGGGGAAGACATCAATAGCGACGGCTTCGATCTATTCTCGCCTTCAAAGTTAGAGGGCGTTTTCAAACAGCCGAATTCATCGCAGTTACAGAGTGATAGGGTCGAGCAACCCGAAACTGGCTCAGTCCGGAAGCCTTTCAATCTGCCTGCAACCAATCCCTTTCCCGAACAGCAATATTCCAGCTATCGAGTCAACAGAAGTCGGCTAAACCTGGAGATTTTGGAAGAGGTCAATGAGGAGGAAGAGGCGGAGCATCAACACTTGTCTGCAGTATCATCGGACCTCGTAAGGACTGGTTCTCTCCGAGGATTGGTGAAGCAACGAGTTCAATCCCTCGAGGGTGCTGAGAAAAGTCGTTCTACGCCGTCATCACCGAGGGGTTATAATGTGCAGGATCCACGATGGCGAACGATCAGCGGTCAAGAAGAATTGCGAAACGAGTTCATTTCTCCAGTCACGGTGTCGAAACAAAACTCGATCCGTGATACAGTGCTACGCACAGATATTGATATACACGCATTGAAAGGTAAATTGCAAAGTGCCGCTTCGAGGGAGGATGACCGGCCGGGTTCAAGCTTGAGTGACAGCCGCATCAGCTATATGGACAACAAAGATCCCGAAAAACACTTCCAGGATGAACCACTGCCTGATCTGACCTCTCAATCTTTACCTGACGACTTGTCTATGGGCACGCAAGATTTCATTACAGGTGGAGGCTTCATAAATTCGCGACGTGGCGGCCGTTCGAATGAAGCATCGTTCCTCCGCAAGAGTCTCAGCCTCAGTCAAGAGCCTTCCCAAATGGAGCCACACCAGAGACCCGATTTTCAGTTTTACAGTTCGCCGCCCCCCGCTTCACGAGCCCTTGATGATAGCATAGATCAAAGCAGGCTCAGTGCAAGTGCGCCAACAACGCCGCAGGATACCAGTGTTATTCACCACACAGAGAATCAGCTCCGGCCCCCGTCCTCTGGAAGCCCCTTGAAGTTGTTCGGAAATCGAGACACGTACACTAACAATAAGCTCATGCGTATCTTGAGTCATTTTGAAGAGCCTGACGAATCGCGTGAGAAAGTGACTACAGTTACGTCGGAGGAGGAGGCACAAGAGACCGAGTTTCGCATGAGTCAATTTGGGCAGGGTGAGCTTGACGGATTCGGCTTTGAACAAAACATTCGCAGACCATCCCCAGTCGAACAAGCAGTAGTGAAGCCGGAGGATAGAATCTTCAAATCCCCTTTGTCACAGTCGTTGCATGTCTCTGAATTAAACCCCGGCGCAGCCGCAACAGAAACCGCACTCGAAGTGGACCAGGGAAGCACAGAGCAGAAAGAAATCATCGCCCACGCTGAGAAAGAGAGAATAAATAAACGACGAAAGACACTTGTCGACGGCCAGGTGTCGCCACCAACCAACGAGGTTGAAGTCAAGATTCCCGAGCTGGGAGAAGTAGTCACTTATGCTGGGAAGAAGAGAAAGGATGCCCGGCCTGGTGACAAAGGGTTCGAGGCAGATCCAGAAGTCCTTGCTTCACGGGACCTTTTAAGACCGAAATCGGCGAGAAGATCTTCTTCCATCAGTCGTGTCACGGTAGTACCAGGTGCTGAAGCTGTTGAAGCAGGACCGGGACCCCAAGTGGTCAATGAAGACCTCACAGAAGCTCTAGCTGCAGAGCTGGCCACATTTGCGCAGGAAGCAGCCCAAGTAAACAATGATTCGCGCAAGCCATCGCTGGCCACGAAGGACTACATGGAGGAAGCCAACAAGGTCATGCAGTTCATTCGGTCTCGAGGCAAGCCAAAGCCTGTTGCTGCTCTGCCAGATATTACAGAGCCGGCCGACGTGTCAGAGCTGAATGCAGATGCTATTCTGGATCTTGATATCGACGCAGACTCTACGAAGGACGACTTCTCGCGACCACCGTCTCGAGAACATGTGTCACGGCACCCCCAAGACCGTCGTCATGCACGCCACGACTCCAGAACAGCAAGCTATCTGCGGAAATATCGTGAAGACGACATGGACGCTCTGGGAAGCACCTCGATGTTTGGCACGCTCCCACCAGCACGTGAGGCCATGTCTTTGAGTGCAGAAGCTGAACCTGCAGCTCTAGAGGAGATTCAGGAGAGCGATCCACCAAACATCCGCATTTTGAATGCCACCGAAACCGTTAGGAAACGCAAGTACTCAAGTTCCACCGTCGGGGGCCAACAAGATTTGACACTGGATCGTCTGGCACACGCTCAACAATCCCATAACAGCTCCACTCAGCAGTCGTTTCCTACGCGGTCGTCTGCATCCGGCCAGAAAGGAGTCATCTCTTCTGGTACCGTATCGATTCCCGACCAAGTGGGAACTATGACGTTCGATCATGACAAGAAGGTGTGGGTGAAGAAGTTATCTAGCGAAGACGGCTCGAAATGTACGGACAGACAGCATCGGAAAACCATGACAGAGGATGACCCTTTTGAGGATATCCCTGACTTGAGCATTGACGAACAGCGGGAGTTAGAGTCTCATGGGGTGCATTCAAAGACTGCCGTAGACCAGAAAGGAGACATGTTGCGGGCCAATGTACGCGGTGCTAATGAAGCATCTCAACCCTCTCCACCCCCGCTTCCGGACCGCAATGTCAATCCTACATGTGAGCAAAGTGGCGATGTACCGGCAGCCGAAGACGATGTCGAGGAAGTCGATCGAAGTTCCCTTCGCTCCAAGGCTTCAGCGCACGAAGCGAAGCTCCACAATGGCATCCCTTCCAAACCTCCGAGTCAGCTCACAGACGACCGAAGGCAAGCTCGAGCAGTTACCATCGCGTTTTCGTCCCCGGTTGTGTCGGCTGTGAACTACGCCAACTTTTCTGAAGACGACTTCGATGACCTTCCCCGTGAAGAAGATCTGCCCCTTGATGATTCAGCGATCGACCTCGACGCTGAGCATGTTGAGCAAGACCTACCACAACCAGCTGTGCTGCCTCGATCCACAGACTCCTGGAGCAAAATTCATCAAGTGCAACTGCTCAGTCAGGGTTCAGTCACCTTCCAACCTCGAACGATATCGCCTATTGTAGAGGACGATGAAGAACGGTTCCAGCCTCGGATGAGTCTTGTCCACATGAAGCACTCGGAGATGGTGACTCCTGCACCGCCAAAGACCATCGCCAAACTCGAAAAGGCAGGCAACAAGGGGGCCAGCATTCTGTGTTTGACTCCGCTGTCTGACTTCTCCGTGCACCAAATCGATAAAGCCAAAGACCCCGACCAGAGCTACGTTGATGAAAGAAAGCATCCACATGCACTACGGCAAGCTCATGGCTCGCTAGCATTGGCTGTGGATGAGCTGGTCAAGGCGATAACAGACGCAGCGCCTGAGGAGCTGTTTTGGGATCAGCTCCGTCAGATGACGCTTGCTCCTGGCAGCGTTTCTTCAGTCCACGGCCTGAAAGATTACTGTCCCAGCTTGGAAGAGTTGAGTATGTCCGGAAACAACATTTCCCAGCTGGGAGGCTTGCCACCCACCTTGCGGATCCTTGACATGGAGAAGAATTTGGTTAATGACCTAACTTCCTGGAGTCATCTCCGTAACCTTCAATACCTCGATGTGTCGGGCAATCGGTTGGAGAGCTTGGAGGGATTCAGTTCCCTTGTCCATCTGCGGAGCCTACATGCGAACAACAATCAAATCTCTAACATTGACGGAATCCTGGATCTGGACGGCCTGCTCGAGCTAAAACTCAGCGACAACGACCTGACCAAAGTTGATTTTGAGGGCAGTGATTTGAAACGACTGAAGACACTGGATCTTAGCCACAACCAATTGGAGGTGGTTCAGAATATCCACTACTTGCCTGCTCTAGAAGTACTTGATGTCTCTCACAATGTTCTGCGGTTCCCGATGACATGCCATGATGTGGATATTCCGTTGCAGAGACTGCGAATTGCCCACAACGAACTGGAAGTGATCTCTCTTAAGCATATGCGAGCTCTTCGATATCTGGATCTCGACAACAACAAGAT